ATTACTTAGCGTCGTCTCGAGATTTGTAATAATGGGTTTATTTTAACAATAAACGAAAAAAGTATTTATAATATACAATATTGTTATTGTATTTTATATTAGAACTATTCGTGGAAAAGAAGTCCTGTCTATAACACTTCAGCTTTAGGGAAAAATATTTTGTTTCCTCCTTGTAAAAACCCTCAGGGGGGACCATTTCCCTTTCTAGTTTTGGAAACTTCCTGTTTTCCCCCCAGACTATATCGTCGATTATTTTTCATTTGGAAAATCAAAAATTAAATTGAACGATAAATGCACCTTTCACAAGGCATATCATAAAAAACCGTCGATAATCGGAAAAAGATGGAAGATAAAAAAATCCCACTGGAATAAAACTAGTTATAGATACAATGGGGCCATTAATTCTCAAGATAATGACATGTGTACACGGCCGTTAAACCCTACTTGCTAACTGGTGCAGTGATGTGCAATTTTCCCATAGGAAAATCATCCGGTTCTCATAATTGATTTTCTAAATGAAAATCCCTTAAACAAGTTCGATTTTTAAAATACCATTGGAAACTGGGTTTTATCGAGCTGGGACTCGTAGCATCAGTCCATGCGATATCACTTTTCACACTATCACGCTACAATTATAATTGAAAAAAAAAATGTTTTAAAAAAATTATACAAACATTCACATCAATATTTTTTCCTTTTTTTAATTAAAAAATTAAGTAAAACATTTTTTTTAAATGATTCTCATTCATGGAAAGTCAAGAATGTAGTGGGAAAGTGCGATTGGATGATACTGAAGGTTTACATAATTTTTCTAGAAGAATGGAATTTTTTCACAGATTACAAAGTTAATTGAGCAAAACAGACCGAGTAAGAACACATAATCGACAAGAATTTCAACAAAACATTTTCAACATATAAGTAATCGTATCAACTGTTTACCCTTGCGTCGCATAGAATCCAAAATCAATCTTATAAAATTATATGTTATTTATTTTCGTTAGGAAAATTGAGGAAAATTCCTACTGGAATAACACGAAATGGTACAGTAAGCATGTGTGTGGATTGAAAAGATTATTATATAAATCGTTTATGCAACAGCAGTAATTTAAAAAGCTTTAAAAAAAACTTTTCTTTAATATCAATAAATGCAGATAATTCCCAAAATTATTTATAAAAATAAATATTTGTGTCAAAACTGAATCATTATTTAATACAGGATAATAAGTATAATTACATATCATATCAAAATATCAAACCAGACCCATGATCTTTCAATGATGTGAAATCATTTGGCATACAGAACCGTCGAAAGCCTTGGCTTTCTTTTTTTGTATTTAAAGGCCGAAGAAATTAAAAGGAAAGAAAGTATATTGAAAATCAATCAAAACATGAAAGGGGAAAAACCCAATGATAAGATAACTAGAAATACATGTAGATTACAGATAGTCTTAAGAACAGAAATATATTTTGATATGTTTCAAATCGGCTTTACACGTAGGGTAGGAAAAGCTTAAAAAAACTGACGTAACAAAAAGATTAAATCATTGGGTTCAAACCAGAAATGTAAGCAAGTCAACGGTAAAATATTGGCAAATTTGTTCAGTTATTCCAAGACAACTTTGATTCAGCCGACAGATTTGAAAATTGCTCAAAAACCTGGAGATTATTGGTTTCTTTTTAGCCTGCTGAAATAAATTTAAGGCAAGTTGAATGCATAATCAAAACGGCTGATAACACAATGATGAACTGAAAAAATAATGTCAATTGTGTACTAATTTGAAAAGAGGGGTTTTGAAAATGTATTCATTCTGCAATTTTTAAATTTGTAGTTAGATATCGGAAAAAACTGGGGCAAATATAAATATTAGATAAGGTAAAATTCCACCTAACAAATTATTTTCAATCTTACAATTGGGAGTACAAGTTTAAATAATTAACTAAAATTAAACAATTATTAAGTCTTAAGTCATTTAATAACCGTTACATAACAGAAAATTATAGATTTAGACACAAAGAAATTGACCGAAAATTGCTTCAACCAACTGGGCTTATTTATTTTTAAAACTAATGAAATAACAAAAGTGACAAATGCCATGATGAGATAACTGAAGAAATAATGTCAATTGTGGACTCATTTGAAAAGAGGAGTTTTGAAAATCTATTCCTGCAATCTTCAGTCAGGAGAAAAGTTTTTGAATTTGTTGTTACACATTTGGAAAAGGTGAAACAAAGATAAATGTTTTGAGAATGTAAAACTCCTCTAATTTACAAATAATCTTCGATCTTACAAGTGGGAGTAAAAGTTTAAAATAATTATGGAATTTGTTTTAATAGATTGAACGTACATTGAATCATTTTTTTAAGTTTTTGAGAATTGCTTCAACCAATTGGGCTTATTTTTTATTTTTATTTATTTATTAATTAAAAGATTGGTGAAGTAAAAAAGTAGGCAAGTCGAATATTTAATCAAAGCATGAAAGGGTAATGGGTATAACACCATGATAATGACGAAATTATGTCAATTATGAGGCAAATCTTCAATCAGGAAATTTTCAAAATTCATCCAAGCAATCTTCAAGCACTTTTTTTTAAAGTGAAATATTGGGACAAAATTTGGAAAATATACATATTTGAGAAGGCAAAATTCCATCATTCAAATAATCTTCTGTTTTACAGTATTACAAGTTTTAAACAATAACTGATCTTTTTTATATATATTTGTACTTTTGTTGTACCATTTTTTACATTTTTGATAATTGCTTCAACAAACTGGCATGTTTTTATTTTTTTAAATAATGGAATAAAAACGTTGGCAAGTTGAATAATGGAAGGGTGATTAGATAACTGTAGAAATAATCAACCGAATCTTTACACAAGAATTTTTTTTTAATTCATAGTTACATGTCGGGAAAAACTGGGGCAAATGGAAATATTTGAGAAGTTAACATTCCCTATTACAAATAATCTTTAATTTAACAGGTGGGAGTACAAGTGTAAAAAATTATGAAGACTTTTTATACGTGTACTTTTATTGCATGGTTGTTTTTTATATCTTTGATAGATTATATTCAACCAACTGTGCTTTTTTGTCTTTTCTTTTTTATAAGATTGATGAAATAAAAAATTAGGCAAGTTGAACAATGGAAGGGTGATAACACCATGATAAGATAACTGAAGAAATAACGTCAATTATGGACAATTTTGAAAAGAGGAGTTAAATTCATCCATTAATTTTCAATCTGAAGTTACATATTGGGAGAAATTGTGATAAATTTAAAGTTTGAGAAGGCAAAATTCCATTATTACAAATAATAACCTGTCTTACAGGTGGGATTACAAGATTCAAATAATAATTTTTTATATGTGTTCATTTATTGTACCATTTTTTACATTTTTGGTAATTGCTTCAACAGACTGGCATTTCTTATGTTTAAAAATAATGAAATAAAACGTGGACCAGTTGAATAATGGAAAGGTGATAAGGTAACTGAAGAAATAATGGCAATTATGGACAAATCTGAAAAAAGGAATTTTCAAAATTCATCCACGCAATCTTTACACAATTTTTTTTTAAATTTGTAGTTGCATATCGGGAAAAACTGAGGGCAATGTAAATATTTGATAAGTTAACATTCTGCTATTACAAATAATCTTTAATTTAACAGGTGGGAGTACAAGTTTAAACAATTATAAAGACTTTTGATACGTGTACTTTTGTTATATGATTTTTTATGTCTGATAAATTATACTTATCCAACTGGGCTATTTTTTATTTTAAGACTGATGAAATAAAAAAAGTAGTCTAGTTCAACAATGGAAGGGTGTAACACCACATGATAAGATAACTGAAGAAATAACACCAATTATGGACAATTCTGAAAAGAAGAGTTAAATTCACCCATGCAATTTTCAACAGAATTTATTTTATTTGTAGTAAGTTACATACTGGGAGAAATTGTGGCAAATTTGATAATTACTTCAACAGACTGGCATTTTTTTATGTTTAAGAATAATGAAATAAAAACATGGGTCAGTAGAATAATGGAAAGGTGATAAGGTAACTGAGGAAAAAAATGTAAATTATGGACAAATCTGAAAAGAGAAGTTATTCATCCATGCAATTTTCAATTAAATTTAATATAATTTAATTTTTTTAATTGTAGTAAGTTACATATTGGGGAAAATTTAAAGATTTGAAGGCAAAATTCCACCATTACAAAATCTTACAGGTGGGAGCACGGTTCTAAATAATTATGTATGGTTATATTTATTTATTATTTTTATGTGTACTTGGTTGTACAATTTTTTATAATTGTGGGATTTTATTGATTGATACAAAAGGGAAAATAATTGAGTTAAGACTGAAAATTGTTAAAAATATATGATATTCGTTTAAGTACTGAAGTAAAAAGATATTACTCTGTTACTAATAATAGAGCACGGGGTTGCTAAATATGGCAAAACCTACCATATTGCATTCAAACACCAATCATACAATCCTCCTGCTCATAAACCATAAAAAAAATCATAATACAAAAAAACTCACCTCTATCGCTAAGAAAAGTCATATAAAATGGTAACGCCCTCCGGGACGATAGCGAAATTGGGTAGACAAATATAAGGCCTTCACAGCAGATGGTTAGAAGAAAAGTTGTGGGTTACCAGATAAACCCACCGAGCAGCTAAATAGAACAAAGAAAAATGAGATTTAACCAGGTCATAGGCCTAGCCCAGGGATAAAACATATGTCTAATATCACATACGGTCCTACTTACGATAATAAATATGTTAAAACAAAAAAGTTAAAACAAACGAGATCGGAACGTACTGAAGGAGCACGAAACAGGAAATACACGAGGTACTACTGCGCTGCAGATAGTTGTCTCCACTCTTCAGACCAGTGCCTCGTCTTGGGCCCGTGGCGACTGGATCGGTGGCCGTCTATTCGAATTACAAGGAAACATTTTTATTTTTAAAACCGAAGGGAATTTTCAAGAATTAGTCTACTGAAAAACGTCAATTCGGATGAAAAAACACGGACTAGGAAGCTTTTTAAAAAACAAACCACCTTTTTTCTCAACTCTAAATGACGTAACGTCCTTCTAGTACGTCAATGCTTCATTCGTGAAAATAAAAATTAAAAAATACGGAATTTAAACACCCAAATTTCCAGTGACACCATACCTACGTGGGTATTTAGAATCACACCTAAAACATAAAATATGGATGGATTGGGAACAAGATTGGCACATCGTAGACAACCTACCAAACATCAAAGATTCAGTCAGGTTCATTTTTTTTTTTTCAATTTTTATGGAATTCGACTGGAAAGCAGACTAGAAGTAACTGACCAGGCTACGGATCGGACACACCAGATACACACATGTCCACCTCATGAACAGAGGAACACATTCACATGTATCTCTGACTATAAAACATATATTAACTTAATGTCAACTTCAAGTAAAAAAAAAGGAAAAAAAACATACTAAATATACATACAGATATTTTTCTTTCCAAAAGGTAGATTGGGGATGAGGCCAGGAAGACAGAAACAACATTTATTTTCTTGTCGAGCTTTCGTTAGAATATATCGCCTTCATCAGTACTTCGAAAAAATCGTTATACTATATGAACAGGTACATGTGTGGATAACGAAGAGCCGGGTGTTAGGGTTCTACCGGCTCTCCGTTATCCGCACATGTACCTGTTCATATAGTATAACGATTTTTTAGAAGTCCTGATGAAGGCGATATATTCTAACGAAAGCTCGACAAGAAAATAAATGTTGTTTCTGTCTTCCTGGCCTCATCCCCAATCTACCTTTTGGAAAGAAAAATATTTAAACTGAGCAGGCTGATCAATCACCAAAGAAAATATACATACAGACAATATACCAAAAGCAATAAAACAAAATAAAATGTATATATGTATGTATGTGTATATATGTATAGATAAAATAAATAAATTTTAAAAAATATATAAAATAAAATATAAATAAACAAGTGAATAAAAGTACATAGGTAAAGGAATAAAGCAAAATAAAATAAAACAAATAAACAAAGTAAAATTATCACCCATTAATAATAAAATTAAATTAATAGAAAACAATAAATAAATAAAAAAGTCAAAGAAATGAGATATTGAATCAAGGTGAAATAGACCCAATACGGCTCTCTCCCTTTTATGGGGGAAAAAACCACTCCAATTGCCTTTAAATCGTAAATACATAGAACAACTACAATCTGATAATACTATAGTTATTTCTAACACATTTTGTAAATATTTTTCAGGAGTGTTTGCCATAGGAGAAGCAGAAGGAACGCATTTACCAAGAAAAGAAACATAGAAATACAAGTCCTATGCTTCTTTAATGAAATGCTGCTTTTAAAAAACAGTTTAAAACAAAGTTAAACACCAAAAAGCAAATTATCACTGATTACCACAAGAACTCTAGGCAAATCTTGGGGATTAAAAGTGAAAATGGCCAATTGGCTAAATATGGCAGTATTAAGGCCTCGGTTCACTAATCTGGTGGACCAAAACACAACAAACTAGCCAAACATCAGGCGGGATACAAACTGGCAAACTTACAAACCGATGAAAACAGTCCCATCAATTGCACTAGAAACACTGCTAAACCTAACTCATTAAAATAAATCAAAGGTTGGCTCGCCCTTCAAATTGGGAAGAAAAAAAAGCAATATTTGCTGGGATCTCAAGTGGTGTGTCTGAGATTGGTCACTTGGGAATAACATTAGACTCTGCGTTTATTTGCTCTCCGCATGTTAGTTTAGTTCTGGCCCAGAGCAATAGAAGCTTGGGGTTCCTTAAGAGAAATACATCAGATTTCTGAAATATTATTATTAAAATATTTATATTTTGGGTTAGTTCAGAGCATACTTGAGTACTGTAGCTTGGTTTGGTTTCCCAGGGGCATTTAATCTAAGGTCTACTTGAAGGAGTTCAGTGGAACTCTATTAAATACCTAATTTACAAGTTAGGACTTCAATGGGAGTATGATGACCGGTTGAAACTGTACAAAATGTGATAACGGTCATTACTCCTTCCACAACTTCTCAGTCAGATAAATTTATATGCCCATTTCAAATTCAAATTGTCGTCAGCAACAGTTTTTACACCCAGTTTCATAGGACTAATAGTGGGAAATTTGGCACAATGACTTACCTTCAAAAGACATTTAATGAAATCTGTGACATGCATCATTTAGATATATTTGGATCCTCATTGAATGTATTCAAAAACGAAATGTTTAAATGCTTGTCGTCATGATTATAATTAGTTCATTCATGTTTGTTACACTATTTGTATTTCTTAATTTAAAATATGTAATATGACTACTGATTGGGGGTCATCCCCAGTAATGTACTAAAATAAATATCACTTTTCTTTAAATATTTTGGAAATACTCCTTTAGAAAGAGACAGGATTAATTGATTTTTTTTATTGCATCAAAAGTAATTTTAATTGAAGAGATGTTCAGAAATGTTTTAGAGCTAAAGTTGCTCTATATATTAACTGAATTAGGATGACATAAGGCATATGATGATGCTGATGATGATAAATATAGAAACTAAGAAGTAGTTTTTTTTCACCCAAGCACTGCAGCCTTCTAGCTTATTCCTACCTACTAATACTTTCCTAGTTACTTAGTTCAGTCCAATCTTCTTGATCCTTCTCCAATTTTTTTTCACATTATGCCTCTATTGAGTGGTTGCTTCATATACCAAGATGATATTGATCTTGCATACACCATGTTAGGTAGTTGTTTTCTCAGATGCCAGCGAGTTTAGCACTCTTTAACAGTAGAGAGTTTGCCAGTTGTAGCACTTCTAAATTTCATGCAATTCTCCTTTTGTCTTTTTTGGATCCATTTTGTGATGGAGGATTCTATGGTTGTTTTTGTTATCCCAAGAATAGGTGGTCTTGCACATCCTCCACTATATACATTTACCATTCACACAAGTACAAAATGCTTTATTGAGTTTTTTTTTTTTAAAGCAAGCACTTGCTCAGTACACTAGTTAAGCATGGTTATATGAACTAGTACAATATTTCAACTTTTAAAATTGAGTTTCTCACTAGGAAGAGATATAAGTTTATTTTTTATTTTTATACATTTCTTTTATATATATATATTTATATAGATATTTTTCTTTCCAAAAGGTAGATTGGGGATGAGGCCAGGAAGACAGAAACAACATTTATTTTCTTGTCGAGCTTTCGTTAGAATATATCGCCTTCATCAGTACTTCGAAAAAATCGTTATACTATATGAACAGGTACATGTGTGGATAACGAAGAGCCGGGTGTTAGGGTTCTACCGGCTCTCCGTTATCCGCACATGTACCTGTTCATATAGTATAACGATTTTTTAGAAGTCCTGATGAAGGCGATATATTCTAACGAAAGCTCGACAAGAAAATAAATGTTGTTTCTGTCTTCCTGGCCTCATCCCCAATCTACCTTTTGGAAAGAAAANTAAATTGATAATATTTTAGTAGTTGGTATTTTCATTGTTTGCCTTATAGCAACACACCCAGATTTTTTTTCTTCTTTTTAATCGTCAGTTGTTTTTGTTTTTTATACATGACAAATGTCTGGTTGACGTCCTGCAGATGGTCTTTTCCATGCTGCTATAGCAGCTAATAAAAATCTTTACTTATAGTAAAATATTGTAAAATGTTGAAATAATATCAAAAGCTAACAATAATAATAATTATTATTAATTTTTAAGGGCATTATAATGGCTAAGGTCATTTTTACAACCTAACATTTAAACCTTCTATCTTAGGTTCGCCATATCCATCTGAGTGCTTTGAAGTTTTGACTCCAAACATTAACTCATAAACTAATCTATCCTATTGCCATCCAAAGCTTCAATTTAACCTTTTAAAATAATTTGTGAGGCCAAATGTATGCAAGAAACCCATTTTAAATTATAAAATTTATTTCTGTTCTTCAATTAGAATTTCGAATTTTTGTTCCATAATTTAAACATTTCCGGTAGGCTTGTTGTATGGCCAATAATAATAATGGAGTTACGGGGGCGTCGGTGGCCGCAACGGTTTAGGCATTGACACGGCGCTCATCACTGTAAGGTAAAGGTCCCGGATTCGAATCAAACCCGACATACAATTTTATTTTTTTTTTAAAGAATGTTGAAAAGAAGTGTTATTGTGTTTTTGTTAAAAAAAAAAAAAAAAAAATAGTTGGAGTCAGACTAGCAACAGCTATCCTTTTATTCTTACATTCAAATATGATAAATAAACTAACCCTGCTTAATAATTATAAGAAACAAAAACTTTATAGTTCTTTTAAATTTACTTCTTGAATTTGAGGTGTTTATAAATTCATAAGTAGAGCCTTGGGGTTCTCATAGTACAGAAGTTTTTTTTTTTTTTTTTTTTTAATTATAAAGGCAATTCAACCATTTAGGTCATTTTTTGCCTTGATAATTATCCATAAGGCACACAAGTGTCGTAGGCCAGAGTCTGGCGCAAGCCACGAAGCCCCCGGGCCGGTGCAAGGGCGAAAGAGCGCCGGATGTACAGAAGTTTAAAATTGATGCTGAGCCCAAAATTTTATTATTTTATTTTAAAAAAATTATAATTAATTATAAAATTCTAGGCTTTACATCAAGTTTAAACTTGTATATATCAGGATAGAAAACACAATTTTTTTTTTTTTTTTTGTAGGTCCCATAAATATAATTATTTTAATATTGGTGTCAGAACAACTGTATACTCTGTCCAAAAAGGTAGGTTTAGTTGAATTCTTTCACCATAATCCTTATGTGTGTATGCTCAGGGAGATGTTCGATATCCATTAGTGTTTTTTCATATGTTAAAAAATCTGAGTATTTCTTTTCTAAAATCACTTCGTGATTTAGTTTCCGAAGGATTTTATACGTGTAGGTGCTCGTGGCTTCAGTCTTCATGACCTGAAATTTGGGTTGATTTGAAAATTTTAATACAATAAATGAAAATAGGCATTACTTTATATCCGGCCTTTTTTGCTTCTTTTTCGCTCTTTTTGAGAATTTTCCCTCCAAGGCCTAAACCCCTGTATTCTTTATGTACCGCCAGACTTCTACATTCGAATATTTCACTTACACAAAATCTTTTAAACGTGTCGCACTCTTTATTAATATCCATAATAATTTCTGAAATTTTTGCCAGTTTCTTATTATGAAAGTACATAGGCTTTTCTAAGTCTTTTTCGTACAGAACTCCATTCAGCGAAACTCCTACTAACTAGATGACAAATACATTTGACTAATATTAATAATGGGAAAGTTGATCACTACAAACAGTAAACTGACACCTTTCCTGAAGAGCATTCGACAGCAATCACAGACACGTTATTTCGTAACGTTTCAGATATTGCCTCCCGCTTGTCCAGGCAAACATCGGGGCTTGATTGAACTTTAAACATTTGATAAAATGGCTCATCTGAGAAATGTTTTTCCAAAAACTCCTGTACCTTCTTCCAAAAAATTACAGGAGCTGGATAAATTAATTTTATATGTTCACTTTTGTTAACTTCCTGCAAATTATCTTATTATATCAATTAATTCAGCATATTATTCTTTATTTTGCATACATAAAAAAATATTAAAAAATTGGTATATCATATTTTTTAAATATAAATTTTGGTGTTATATACTATTGAGATTAGACTCTGGGGTCTGCTGGATAATGAACCTGCAATTGAGCTTTCTGATCACATCGGTTGTACTATCCTCATTGGTTTGGTCTGTCATGTTTCAACTTCTCATAATCTTGTTTTGGGTCTGTGTGTATATGTCCTGGCTGAAAGTTTTAATGGTTTGAAAATCAATTCTGATAGAGAATGCAGCAAAGATAGGCAGAACAGGTTAACACAAAACGCATAGATGGTGAGAAGTTGAAAAAGCATCTGACAGACCAATCTAGTGAAGATGGCGCATCAAAATGATAAAAAATGACCAAACTACAGGCTATGTATTATACCAAGAACTGTATAGTTCGTATGCCATGCTTAACTATATATTTCGGTGTATAATTTAGAGTAGTTGCATTATAATGCAAGAAAATATGTATTGTTAGTAATTCTGTATCAACTCAGTTTTTTCTTTTTCAAACAGAATTGTGTCTTACAAAACATTTTTTTGCATTTGGTCACAAAAAATTTTTTTTCTTGTAAATAACCCTTTGTCAAATCAACAAATTCAGATGATTACAATAAAACAGCAGTTGTCTAATAATTTAACAAGGGAACTTGCTAATTTTATATTTTACCTTATTTTCGGTGCATAGTCTTTTTGAAGCATGCGGTGATGGCAGTTGAAGTCGTTTCCGACATAAAACAGACCCTGAAGGGATTTTTGGTAAAGAGAAAAATTTTCTTGGTTTCAGTGAGAAAAAAATTGAGGAATTCATTGTTTAAAATTTGGATTTTAACATAGAAAAGTTAATATAGTATACATTAGAAACACATGTGTACTTTGTTGGAATGTTAAGAATGTTTTCTTTTAACAATCACAATTTAATAATAAACAAAATCATACAATTGTGAATATTACTGTGTAATATTTTAAAGAAAATAGTATAACAAAAAGGAAATAAATTATGTAATTGTGTATAAATTCAGGCTGCTAAATAATAATAAAACATAAAAAATCTAGTTTGGACTGGAGAGCTCTGCTGTCTCCCAGGAACCCCGGTGTTTATAACATTATTAACAACTTTTTTTGAAGCGTCTCAGTGAAGAGATAGTTTGTGATGTTAAAAACTAAATTTGTTGCTCAGTACTATTAAAGCTGCATAAATTTTTTAAAATCTTATTTTTAAAACCAAACCTATTTTTGGTATGCAAAATGTGAATAAATGTAAATAACTCTTCCTGGTAGTATCTGCAGTGTTTCTTCTGTCTGTTCTGCATTCTTAAGTGGCAGTGTCCTGTCAGGAGTCCAACCAGAATCCAGGTTCGGTTGCAGTAGCTTTCCAGTAATTCTTTTGTAAGTTTTGCGGATGGTCCTTACATGAATCTCTTCGTGTGTCTCATACTTGTCATATTGTTCCACCTAGTTTTGAACTCATTAAGGGTCCATTTTAAGATGAATCCTCTTTTGTGGCAATGTGCATACCACAATATTGTTTTTAACTTTTAGTAAGAAAAGAAAGGTAAAGAGGGGCGTCGCTCATCACTGTAAGGTAAAGGTCCCAGGTTCGAATCCAGCGGCCCTGCATTCAAACCCGGCATACTTAAAAATGGGCTTATTGGCAAAAACATCGGCACCCCGAGGGTTCAAAGGTAAAAAAAGGTAAATTTTTGCCAATTCTAACGTAAGTAATTTTAAATTTTTTTAATAAAAATAATGTGGAAACTGTTTAGTTCAGGGGATTATAAGATAGGATGACGGTGTTATGTTCGATGAGTATTTCATCCGGTCATAATTTATTTACATTAAAAGAACATTTTCAAATTTCAATCAATAAAATTTATTTACCCTAAATTTTAAGCAAAAATCCCTTTTCGGCTTTGATGGATCCAGCCTGGTAGGTAACCCTCAGCACCTCAACAGTCAACACTGAGCCTCAGCAGCCACCAGCCAGCATTGAGCAGTCAGCAAGTGTTCTGGTTTTGGTGTAAACCGGACAGAGCACGCTTGAAAGTAATTTCGAAAAACTTTGAAAGTGTCACTTTACATTTTACAATAACCTGATTTCCTGTGATATTTTTACGCTTGTACTGTAAAATGTCCAATTCTTTCACTTGTATAAGCTGCAGAGTTGCATTCGCCAGTGCAGAAATCCAAAGGCAGCACTACAAGACAGACTGGCACAGGTACAATTTAAAAAGGAAAGTCGTACATTTGCCACCTGTCACTGCTGAAGATTTCGAACTGAGGGTGATTCAGCAGCGGTTGAACAACGAGGAAAATTCAAAGGACACGTCCACGTTTTGCAAGATCTGCAGGAAAGCCTTTTCCTGCAACAAGGCGTTCGAAAACCATTTGAATTCGAAAAAGCACAAAGAGAAATTCACCCTTGCAAACTCGGAAAACGAAGAGACTCATGGGTTGAACAGTATTTCGGAGCCGGCTAAGCCGAAAGAGTACAAGGAAAGGGAGAGCAAACGACACCCCGAAATTGAGGATGAGCAGACTAACATAGAAGAGTATTCCGACATTGAAGAAGTCGACTCGGACGAATGGGATGACATGGAAGATGTAGAAGAAATGGAAGAAATAAGCGAAAACAATCCGATTCTTAAAGACAATTGCCTGTTTTGTGCCCACCACAGTCCTTCGATGGAGGAAAATCTCAATCACATGTTTATCGACCATTCGTTCTTCATTCCGGACAAGTCGTTCAATGTAGATCTAATGGGCCTTTTGTTACATTTAGGCGAGAAAGTCTGTAAATACTACATGTGTTTATGGTGCAATTTTCGTGGCAAGGAGTTCTATTCAATGGAAGCGGCTCAGACACACATGAGAGACAAAGGACACTGCAAAATACTATACGAAGGTCCTACAGTTGCTGAATACTCTCATTATTATAACTATGCGACTAGCTATCCAGACCACAACGATGAAGTGAATATTGATGAAGAGATTGAAAATATGGAATTGGATGGTTCTGATTATCAGTTGGCATTGCCTTCGGGTGCCACGATCGGCCATAGAAGTTTATTACCATATTATAGGTTAGCGTTACTAACTTTAGCACAATTATGAACTGTTCTAATATTGTGCAATTCTTTTTCAGACAAAGGTTAGGTCCTATTACTCCTGTGACTCGTTCGAAAAATTTCAAATCGTACAAGGTAGTTCAATGGAAAGAAACTAATCAAGCGCTTGCAAGGTAATTAATATAATTCAACATTAATTTTGTATGTTTTGTCTAATTCGTCAAAAAAATTTTAGGAGGATGAAAGATACAAAACGCATGACATTGATTCAGGGCAAGTTTTACATGCAGGTCGGAGTCAAGGCGAACAAGCTGCAAAAGCATTTCAGACCCCAAGTTAATTTCTGAGTAAATGTTACTTTTTGGGTGTTCTCTATGTTTATGTGTATAAATACATAGTATATATATTTATTTTTATTATTTAACTGAGGTTTATAAAATGTATATATATTGTTATGTTACATTGAATGTTGAATTCAAACTTAATTTTTTACACATAAACACATTGAAAATAGTAAATTTTGGGTTAATTGATTTTAATATAATACAACAGCTGGAATTATGTTGAAATAAATAATACAACACTTTTTATTTATTCTGTATTTGATCTGAGCAAGCTGTCGTGTATCTTTACATGAACCAATTCAACCGGCTTTTCTCACCCTCTTATCACTGCTTCTTCTTAAGTTGGGCTTTTGAAATTTGAAACATAAATTAAGCTTGGGTCGCTTAGAACATTGTAAAAATTTGAGCACTTAATGTTGTCTTTTGAAATGGGAGAATTTCAAAATTTACGTTTTTGTTGCTGACTGACTCACTGATCATCAAAATTATAACGTACTTCCCAAATAGCTAGAAACGTAAAATTTGGCAAAAAGGTGGGGTTTATATAGTAAGTAAAGGAAAAAATCTGAAAATTGCAATTTTCTAAAAATTAGTGCTGCTTTAGTGGAAAGTAGTCTTGCCATCAAAATTAAAAGGTACTTCCCGTATAGGTAGAACCATGAAATTTGTTACAAGGTAGGTCTTATATTGTAAAAATGTAAAAGTGGCAATTTTTCCAAAATTAATTTCACTTATGGAAGGAGTGGGTAGTCTCATCATCAAAATAATGTCACTTCCTATATAAGTAGAAATGTGATATTTGGTACAAATGTATGTCTTATAAGTAAAGGTAAGGATCTGAAAATTGCAATTTTCTCAAAATCAATGGTCAAGTCTGCGTGTTCTTGCTGTTTAGTTCTGACATGCTTAAGTATTTCATATTCAAAACGTAAAATTTTCTTGTTTAAGTGCATACTACAATTGTTTTTAACTTGTAGTAAGAAGGTAAAATTATTGATTAATTTTTCCCAATTCCAACTAATTTAAAAAATGATGTGGAAACTGTTTAGTCCTGGAAGTTACAAGTATAACACAGGATTACGGTGTTATGTTTGATGAATATTTCTTCTGTTCATAATTTATTTGTACAAGGGAGACAATAGATTCATCCGTCATCATAACGGAGACAAAAAATTTTCTTTTGCATTTTTATTTATTTTTGAATTTTCTGTTTTTTCCTTGACTCAATTTTTTTTAAGTTTTGTTTTTACAACCAAACTTCTTTTTGGTATGAAAAATATGAATAGACTTAAATATGTGAAAACTTAAGGGTGATGCATTAATTTTGTCCATCGTGTAAATATATGTATAAAATAAATAAATTTATAAAATAAATAAATATAAATCTTCCTTATAAAAAGCCCTTTATTTATTAACATACATACGGATTACAGATCCATTTACAAAGAATACAAATCACGACGTTATAAACAATTTAAATAGTATATAAACAAAATTTCTAAAATAACAATAGCAAAAACATTAATAATAATAAACAATAAACTGTATGTATCAATTAATTATTTTTTTAGTCTAAGTTCTTGGTTTTATTTATATATTTTACATAATAATATATAATAAATTCCTTTTTGCAGCTCTATATAATAAAAAGCTATTTATTTATTTATTTAGATATATACTTACAGATCAAAGATCCATTTACAAAGAATACAAATCACGAAGTGATAAACAATTTAAGTAGTATATAAACAAAATATCTAAAATAATAATAACAATAATAAAATAATAATAATAAACAATATAATATGTTTATATATCAATTAATTATTTTTTTAATCTAAGGTCTTGGGTGTATTCATATATTTTATATTATAATATATAATAAATTCCTTTTTGAGACTCTATCTGCCAATTAGTTTTTCTGCAATATTTTCACGTCTAAGATTCTAGCCAAAACAAATTCTTATTCTCTGTTGTAAAAATGTAAAACTTCTTTTATAAAAACTTGTTAGTTACTTTGAAGTTTAAATTTTGAAATTTTCGGTTATCAGTAGTTGAGAACGCCGCCGCTTATTGTTCGTTACTTTTGTTCTCCCGCCTTCTGTTCTTTTCAGTTAACTTGCTGTTCCTTGTTTTTGTAAGACTGTTTTATCAAGTTATAAGTCGTGTGAGTTGTATTGTCGAACGACCAATTCTAGGATTTTTTTAAAAACTAAACAGGTAAATACATTTAACAAGATGTCGAACGAAAATGTAAAACGAAATATACATAGGTTCACTTGAAAATATGCTAATACATACAATAAACACTAAGTTATAACTATAATAACTTTGTTCTGTATTAGTTCAGTTTTTAAATATTCAGTTTGACATTTAAGGCAAAGGTAAAAGTTGATCAGTCTGATGTAAATAAGTAATATATAAAATTGAACAAAGCAAGAAACTTTTAAACGGTTTAATTTTGTATAAATTTGTCAGCTTCAATCATGAAGAAAGCGTCCCTGGGTAGGAGGTCATCTGTGACGATGAGAGGCAACAGTAGGTTGAGCAGTACAAAAGATTTTGAAAGTGCAAGGTAACAACTCATAGTTTATATAAATAAACGCTGTAATTTTTATTTTTTTATTTATTTATTTTTTTTTTTTTGACAGGAAAGAACGGACATCTGGCATTCCGGTCAGAGCGAGCTCTTATGACTCGATCAACGTGGCCAGAATGCCCGGTTCGGCTGTTTCGTCCAGATCGAAAAGCTCCACCAGGATGGGTGAAATGACGCCGCAGAGCGAACGTCGCCAAACCTTCACAGATAGGCCTAGCAGGTATGAAAATCGGGTCTTCCAAAAAGTCAATTACTGAAATTTACAAAATCTTATTTATTTGAGCTTCAGTGTTTTGTTATTTGGTTGATTTAATTCAACTTTTTATAAAGAATACACTAATGTTTATTCGTCCAGTCTTACATGTACACAAGATATTAATTTGGTACTGACGAGCATCTCGGTCTGCGTAGTTTTATCGGTTGGTTTATAACTTATAAAAATAAGATTTTTGTTTTTTAAAACAACTTTGTAAAAATTTTTCTCAGTGGGAGGAGGTAATTGAAGTAAAATTGAGATTAATTTAATAGATAAAACTTAAGACTTTCTGAAGAATTTTATTCTTTTTAGAGACCTGCTATTTATTTAACACTTCTATGATTCATCCAAGTGCTTTATGTATAAATATGTAAATAATTGAACTGTTTGCAGATGATGTAATTTTGATGAGTACTGAACCAGTTCAAACAGGTTGTATGAATACTGTCAACTGTGGAATTTGTCAGTAAATTTGAATAAAACTAAGTTTATGGTGTTTAGAAATGTCGGTAATGGCAGTAGGCCATCAAAGAATGAACGATGGTTTTTAGAAAATGAAAGAATAGAGGTAGTAAAAGGTATAATATTTAGGTGTAACTAATTAAGGTTTTTAGTTGAGATAAAAAAGTCAATGGCACGAGCGGGATTCGAACCCACGATCTTCGGCTTGATACGCCACTGCTCTACCACTTGAGCTATCGTGACCTCGATCAACTCGGATACCAACTTCCCATCTCAACTGCACCTTTTGAATTTTCCCTGCTTTTTGCCATTTTTCAAATGTCATGTAATCGGATTGGATTCTCGATAACAAATGAAATGGCCACGGAGAGCTTTAGTGAAGTATACTTCAATCCAAATCATTAAATTCACTAATTTCGTGGTCTGCTTTAACAATTAATATATTATAATTAATTAAGGTTTTTAGTTGAGATAAAAAAAGTCAACGGCATGAGCGGGATTCGAACCCACGATCTTCGGCTTGATACGCTGCTGCTCTACCACTTGAGCTATCGTGACCTCGATCCACTAGGACACCAACTTCCCATCTCAACTGCACCTTTTGAATTTTCCCTCCTTTTTGCTATTTTTCTAAAAACGTTAATTAATTATAATATATTAATTGGTCAAGCGGACCACGAAATTAGTGAATTTAGAAGTAACGTTGACTCCTCTACTTTCCTTCAATATGCATTTGGCCAATAAATTTAGGGTTGCTAAACAAGAATTGAATATAACCTGGAACGGTATTCTTAATAAAGGAGATGTTCCTCTAAAAAGTAAATTTAAAGTTTTATCCTCCTTGAACTAATATTTAAGCTTAGTGCTTTGATGGCTCCTTGACTATCTGACATGATAGCTATATCCTTGTTTTTGTACCCTTTAGTTAGGTTGAGTTGGGTACATCTTTTGATTGCATGAATCTCAGCTTGGAAGATACTACTAGTGTATTTTCCCATGGGTTCTGAGTATTTGTTCCTAGGACAAAACAAGCATTTGACCTGGCATCAGGGAATGCTAAAATAAAAACACAACTCCCTAGCACACTATAAATAACTGTTCAATCATACCTAACAAATCACACTTTTGTAGTAAAGTGCGGAAATGTGATATTTAGTGTCAGCAATATCTGTGCTGGGGTACCACAGAGTAGGGTACCTACAGGGTAGCTGCATAATATATTCCTCTAATTACCCATACCTTGCAAATAATTCTCTTGCCTAGTTCACTAATAATGTAGCAATATTACGTTAAATCCTTGTTATTACTAGAAGCAATAATAGAACAAAGGTATGCGCCAAGAAACAGCCGAAATCATTCAGTTCCATGCAGAAACGGTGGGTATACAGTCTAGAAACTGCCAAGTACAAATGATTGTCAGCAAATCTGAATTACTGATACAGTTAAACGGCCAATTCCTTAATAGAAAAACTTCTTTGTTTTTTTTATTAATAAGTTGTTTGGCTCTCCCTATTATACACCAAGTTATTTTATTTATTTGGAATTAGGCTTTAGACCTTTGTGTATATGTTGAGGAGTTATTTAAATAATATACAGCCGGTTTTGGGTCTGAAACAGGATTGTTTGCCCTACCTCCTTGTGCAGGAGATAATTTAAAAAAAACAAAACATTTTTTGGTTTAAAGAATTCGAAGTGTTGTCTTCTGGTACACAATAGTTCTCGTATAAATTTTACAGACAGGCAGTACTATTATTGCAGACAGTAGAAACTAATCATAAAGAAGAATGTTTAAGAAAAGTGCAATGTTCTACTTACTAATTAATATACAAGGAATTGGATTTCGATCTTGGAGACAATTACTTGTACAAGGAAGACAACTGGAATTTGATCAAGGTTGTTTTTCATGCGAGAGGTCAATTATTGTATTTAAATTGTAAGCCTTGGTTGGAGGAAAGAGGCCAAGCATGTCATATCTGTAAACTAAAAACGGTGGACGATTTGTTTCATTTTTTGGCAGTTTGTCCAACTTTAGAAAACGTTAGATTAATTTGGTTCCACAGATGCCGTTTGACATTCCGCGAGTGTATAGACCTTTTAAATGGGAAAGATTGGTTTAGTTTGTATAGATATATTATAGATAAACTGAATTGCAGAGATAATTTTATGTTAAGTTTATAATTTGTATGTTAATTTAAGTGTAAATATTAAGGGTCAACTGGCAGACGACTAGTTCATGCCATTACAAGTTTTGTTATTTTGTAACAAAAAATGTAATATTTTGTTATCTTTTCTAAATATACTTTTAAAAATAAAAAGATAAAAAATGTAAATAATTGTAGGTTATTAAAAATTTGAATTTTCAGAGCTAATACGTTGAGCACCAATTCATCGAGAATGAGCAGCATGGGCGGGACAAAGTCTAAAAGGGACAACCGGCCTTTACAAGATAAAGAATGGCAAATGATGGCTAAAGAGAAGGCATGTTCTTTTTCAGATTATTATAAGATTTAATGTAATTTCTAGTTCTAGCCTTGCCTGATTCTATCAGGTTTTTTCTGACAGTCGAAGTTCAGCATTTTGCTATGTTAAAAATTAGTATTCTATCAGACACACTGGTGGAATGTCGGAACTTGTCTTCATCACTCTCGCAATTTAATGTAATTATCTGTCCCCCGGCAGATCGAGTATTTTCTGAGCACTGTTCCCGAGGGCCATAATATCTTGATGACGTTAGGAGTGAACGGATCGATCAAGCCTCTTTCTCTCAGGCTCTTCATAGAATTGGTCAATTATTTGCTCCAGTGCCTCGACTCTTCCATATCAATCGACAAACAGAACTATATCACAGAATTGCAATTTATTTGCAAAAAGATGTCGTATAGAGGAAAAGTAGAAAAATCCTGGCTGATATCAGGTGAGTTTTTTTAATATATTTTATATTGTGTGTTTTTGCACTTATCGTCCTATCTTCTAATAATGTTGAGTCATTTTATAAGAAAAATAAAAGTTGTGCTCAGGATAATTTTTCTTTTAATTTAGACAATTTTGAATTTAAAAAATTCAAAAAGTAAAGAAAATAATGTGTTTGTGATGATGTTGAGGTGAAAAAACTACGTGCTTCTGTTAGATACATCAGAAATAAGAAGAACCTTAGAAATTAAATATATATAGTGGAGTTAATGTAACAATAAAATTTGTCAGACTTTTTAATTAAAAATGAAAAGAATCTTTTCAATTTTATTAAAACTGTTTGTTGCATTTCAATAAGGGAACCGCAGCGGTCGAGTGGTTAGAATTGGTTATTTGCCACACCAGTTCTGGGTTTGAATCGGCACAATTGTTGAAATTTTAGTTGAAATTATTTTGTACAATTTATTGTAAAGTGATTTTGACCCTTTGACTGTGATACCCAATGTTTGGCTCTCCGGGTATAGTAAGTGGGTATGACACTCTATGTGCTAAGCGATCAGAGAACATTCAGCGTATGCGCTTAACTACTTTTTGCTTTTTGGAGTGATGATTCCAAAAAGTCAAAAACGTTTATTTTTTATTGATAATGACATCCAATCGTGATTTTATTGTTGAGATGATTGAATTGTATGAAAGTTTACCATGTTTATGGAAAGTGGTTGATGATTACCACGATAGAAATAAAAGAAATTCGATCCTCAACCAGTTGGTCGACGTTTTCAAAACAAAGGATGCGGTATTGATAACCCCTAACGTTGATCAGAAATCGTAGTAGAGAACTTAAGTTCTTTATAATTCATCCCTGTAGCGAGAAATCGTAATGTGGTTGCCAACCTTTCATGTAGAGTGATGATTTCTCTCATGACTGTCTTTTGTTTTCTAACAAAGGGAGTAACAAGCTGGAGGAAATATAAATAAGACGTTAATCTTTTTTTTTGTAAGGTTTTGGTTGAAATGAAAAAATGTGTCACGAGGGGATTCAAATCCACGACATTCGCCTAAATACGCCGCAGCGCTAACCACTTGAGCTATCGTGACTTAGATAGTTCGATCCACTCGGACACCAACTCCCCATCTCAACCTACAACCTTTCGAATTTTCTCTCTTTTTGCCATTTTTTTGGTGTCGGAGAGGATCGAAGACACAATAACTCAAGTGGTAGAGCAGCAGCGTATTTATCTGAAGGCCATTGATTCAGATCCCGCTCGTGGCACTAGCTTTTTCATTTCAACCAAAACCTTACAAAAAAGATTAATTAATTGAAAGAAGTAATTTGGTCAATAGAACACTAAATATAATGAATAAATAAGACGTTTCATCCATCCTTAAATATTTCCTCCAGTCAGCGGGTTCAAGGGAAGGTTCTTTCATCAAATTGATGTGGGTATTACGGCTTCTGTTCAGGAGCCACTTCTTACACCATTTCCTCTTCAATTTTTTGCTTTTAATATGTAAATAAACAGAAGAGTAGCACAAGAGATCGTCATCCATTTTGAGAAGGTAATTCACTGGTTGACGTTTGGAGCGACTGGCTGTGGAGCGGGCAGCGTGAATGCCCCCTCAAATTAGAGGCACTCCATATGGAGCTGTACGGCTTGGCGCAGTTCCATTTGGAGTGATCGTGAATGGCCACCTTAAGTAAAGAAGTTTTCTTGGCCTTTGGTCAAAGAAAATCCCAGAGCAATGTTCGAGAATTGGCTGAGAACTGTTCAGTTAGCAAATCGACCATTGCTGGCCACCTTAAGGCAGTTGAAAAGGTGAAAAAGCTCGAAAGTTGGGTTCTTCATGCATTAAACATTATGAAATTTGTGCACCACTTCTTTGCCGAAACAGAAACAAACCTTTTCTGGATAGAAATGTTACTTATGATGAAAGTGGATTCTCTGCCAAGCCGAAGATGTTCTGGACAGTGGCTCGACATGAAGAGAACACCACATTTAACCAAGCCCCCAACTTTTCAAAAAAAGGTGATTGTGACTATTTGTCGGGTTTCATTGAACTGATTTACTTCAGCTTCTTGAATCCTGGCATACCAGTCAATTTCAAAATTTATTTCTCTGAAATTGAAGTAATGCTTTAACAATTAGCATTATTCATGGCTTTGGTCAATCGGAAAAGGCCTGTTACACGAAAATGCTCAACTTCATGTCTCACATGTGACAACATGGAAACTGTTGGATCTTGATTAGCACGTTCTGCCTCACCCTCACTATTTTCCAGACCTCTCACCTAAAAAAATATCCTCTTTTGGATGAGAATTTTTTGAAAGTCCATGGTGGAGTAGGAGGGTGTTGGCAGTAAAAGAACAAACTATTTTAGATTCATTCCCTTCTCGCAACTATGTACAATATTTCTGTACAGGATGGGCACAATAGACGAGGGCTATCATCGTCCACCCCCTTTTCAAGCGAATTTACTCTTTTTACAAATTTCTGTTCCCGTAGGATAGGAGGCTTTAGTGCGCTTACTTGTTGATATGAAGTTGTTTGGATTGTTTAGACATAGAAAAAGCAATTCTTTTAATTCAAACTACTGACTGACAAATGACTCTTGACGTTTGTTCCAAAGTGAGAGCTCACATTGGACGAGTTTGTCTTTATTTGCAATCGGACTAAGTTGGTTCCAGTGTGAGCCAGCCACTGACTCTCTTCCACTGTTTAAAATAATTAATTATTAAATAATTGTTTTACAGTGAATACACCTCATTCCTGGATGCATGCTCTGGGACTTCTCCATTTCTTAACAACATGTGTTGAATGCATAAATCAAAATCCAATCAATTTACTATTCCCATCAAATTTTGAGGGTGAAGATGTTGGCGATTTTTGGAATTTTAAAGTAACATAGAGTTTTACTACTTTTTATTTTAATAGCTAAATTAGTTTCTGGTTGTGATTAATATATAAATTTCAGGAGATGATACCATATTTATTGGAATCGTATAATTTGCTCTTGTCCAACTCGCCCCACTATGAAAAGCTCCAACAGCAACTGGACGAAAAAATTATCAGGATTCACAGTAAGCCTTGTAGCGAAATCATAGGGAAAAAAATGTATTTCACGTTCGACAAATTGTGATTTCAGCCGAGGACAATATTTTGGATAAACTGAAAATCGTTGAAGCTGAAATGTATGCAATCGAAGAAAAATACGAAGAGATTGCAATGCAAAAGCATACACTTTATGATAATGTTGTGGTACGTCAAACACAACATGCATTTTAATAATTGTTTTTTTTTACAGTTTAATTTCTGATTTTGTTTTTAGCAACTTGAGGAAGAGATCCCAGGAATCGATGTTCAAATAGAACACCATAAAACAAATATAGAAACACTGAAAGCCAGGAATAGTCAAGTGAAGGAAAATATAGAATACAAAGAAAAACGTGTGGAACAATTAAGTACGAGAGTGTATTTATTTAATTTTTTGATGCTACATGTAAAATATCATGTAAATGTTGATTATTTGCAACACTTTTATAATAATCCTAGGCAGGAAACTAAATCTTTACAAATAATAAGGATAAGAGATATTTGGAATAATATAAATTTGAAATTAATTAGGGAGGGAGGCTTTATTATGATTTATAGATGGTTCTAACTTGGAACATGGTGAAGGCGTCAAAGTCCTAATTTTGACCTAGCGAAATATCTAGTCTTACACTATCAATTTTCAAACTGAGACAGAACCATGCCCAATACATCATGAAAAAAGCAGAACTTTGACTCATGTCCTTTATAACTGCAAAGTTATACCCTGGAAATAGTACAGCCTCTTTGAAAAGGTGGTAATAATGCTTAGGGAAATTAGCAAAGAAGAACCCTGGAAAGTGCTCAACTTCCAAACTATTCCATGATAGATCTTTTAGGTCACAGTGGAAGAAATTATGGTTGTTGACCAATGACTCAAGGGGAGATAAATATATTTATTATACTTTGGTTATTTTCGGTCGTTTTGGGCACCAGACTTCTGTAAAGGCAAGACATTCTTTTTAAAAAAAATCCCATTTCACCAATTTAAATAAACAAAATTGTCAGAGGCGCATTCCAATCGCTCCCATGATCCGGGTTCCCTATCAATAGGGCGTTGCAAGAAAACAAAAATAAAAGGGCATTCCGAGTTTGGACCTCCATGAAAATACTTGGTACCATCCGGTGAGTCAATTCCCTTTTTTCTGTGAAAAGAAATAATTTCCTTGTCCATCTTCTGGGAGTGCGCCACTCCTTTCATTAAAAAAAAAATCATATAAAAAAATAGATAAATATTCAGAAATCGTGAGATGCGGTCTGGTGTGATGTAGGTTTCAGAAAAACATTTTCTTTATCGTGCCAACGTTTCAATCTTTATTGAGATCATCTTCAAGGCCTGGGATTTACAAACATTGTTTACATTTAAAAAATACATTTAGGATGTGGAAAAAGTGAATTTATACAATGCAAAATATATTTTTTTATATTCAATCAAAGTATTTCTACTCACTCAAAGTGTTTATCTTCTGTGTAATTGTGCCATTCTTGTGTTGTGTTGATGGTGCTGTTTTATGTTTATATATGTTGGATTTTGAAGGGGTGGGGAAGGAAGTCGGTATAGAAAAGACATTTTTGTATAAGGTGTTGGCTTCTTTGAGGTGAAAAGAGCTGACGAAGGGAAAGTAATGGTTCGGCCAGATTATTCTTTCAGGATTATATAGAAAGGGATAAATAGGAAAAGGAAAGCTAAATTGTTGAATTGAAATAGATAAATTTTTGTTTGATAAAATTATTAAAATAGGTTTAAAAAGCTTTATATATTTTATTTATGCTAAGAGAAGCAATTATGTTCATTTTTCCTGCGCTTTCATTCTTTTCATTTTAGTTCAGAGCAGTTTCTTATTTTATTTTATTTTTTATAATAAAAGTAATTTTTTTATTTTCCAAATTTTTTATTTATTTCTTTTCCTCATTAAATTTTAATTTGTGGGAATACTTGAAGCACAAGCCATTTTAGAACTCTCAAATTACTTTACACTTCACAGCATTATACAGAAATGTCATAAGATTAGATTATTCTTTTATATTTAACTCAAGGTCATCTTTTATTTACTTACTTTTTTTATCAGACAAAAACCACTATGCAAATAATTGTTCTTTTGTTCATTTATGTTTTTAGTTAAAATTTTACTTATCTTTTTTTCTAGGAGAAGAACTGGAGATGAAAAAAAATGAAAAATCTGTGATACTCAAAATGGTGAAGGAACAACGAATATCTCATACAGACATTGAGAATTTGAAGCGAATCCAGTCAGCCGTCCAACAAGAAATTGAAGTTGACCGTAAATACATCCTCGACTATGAGGAATTACTTTTCAACGAGGATCTTAAGGTTGCCAAGCTTAAGACAGAGGTAGGCCAAAATTATTTTTATCGTTTATAAAAATAAATAATCGTGGAGGTTTACTTTCCAGTTGGAGGATAATATAAGAAACTACAACATTAACCTAGCCAAGTGTTTAATGGTGGAGCCAGAATTGGACAAAGCCGTGCTGGAGAATGTCGTGAATAAATTGGATCTGGAGAATTTTCTTTCAGTACAAAATGTATTAATGCACCTTAAACATAAATACAGCGAAAGCTATTCCATAACAGAGGCTAAAGTAAAAGAAACTGAGGATAAAATTACTGAGGTATTTTAATTAAATTTATTCTTGTAATTACGTCCATCATGGATGCACTGTTGTGCTATTTTTATTCATTTATGAGCAAAAAATGTTTTTAGTATAAGTGCTTACGGTTAAACGCACACCTCACTGTGAGAAGTCTTAATTATAAGTAAAATATATTTTATTTTTCAAATTATGTTTCAGGCATTATCTGTCATCAACAAATTAGAGAAATGTTGTGAGGAAAAAATGTCTACATTAAATTCTTTGAAAAGTATAATGGAAGAGACTAAAATTGCACAAGAAAAGGTCGGTAGTGCTTGATTTGACTAAAATGCAGTGAGAATTGAGGTTAATTTTTTTTTTTTTTTAACAGAAATTGGAAGAATTGAATTTGAAGCTTGAAGAATATGTCACGAAACAGAAAGATCTGAAAAGAAAGGAGCTGACCAAACAGTCAGCCGAAAATTTGGAAGATTTATTAGCCGTCGTGAATGAGAAGAAGAAAAAGTATGAAAACATGCAATTATTATTCTAATTCTAAATGTGATGTTTTACTTTGTTCCCAGGGTTGAAAATATTAAAAAAACGATGAATTTCTTTGTGGAGAGGGCGACGTGTATTATTGGCCAACTGAAAACTAAATTCTACGATAAATATACAATTTAAATGTATAATTTTAAATAAGTTAATTAAACTTTTTTCCTTACTTTTTCAAGTAAGTACTTTAATATGCAAATAGGCAATTAAAAATTTGTTAATTAAAACCATTTTCAATTTTTCAGTTGTAGGATCCTGAAATATCTGGATAATACAATGTACATATTTGTCTGTTTGTGTTTAATGTAATATATGTATATGTCAAATAAATTTATTTTAAAATGCGATATGTAGTTTTATGTAAAGTGTGGTTGAGATGAAAAGTGTAAGTTTAAGAGCGGGACGCAAACCGATGACCTTCGGCTCAATACGCTGCTGCTCTAACCACTCGAGCTATCTTGACTTCGGTTCCCCGAGACACCAACTCATTTCAACCTACAACTTTTCCAAATTACTCTCTTTTTTTTGCCTCATATCAAATTACGTGTAATCGTTTTGGATTCTCGACGAACTTGAAGCGGCCATGGAGAGATGTTAGTGAAGTATTGGTTCTTCAAATAATTATTAATAAATCCATTATATTTAGTGGTCTGATTGACCAAAAATCTTTCAATTAATTTTTATGTAAGGTTTTGGTTAAAATTAAAAAGCTAGTGTCATGAGTGGGATTCGAACCCACGACCTTCGGCTCAATACGCCGCTGCTCTAACGACTTGAGCTATCGTGACTTCAAGCCACTCAGACCTCAACTCCCCATCTCAACCTACAACCTTTTTCAATTTTCCCTCCTTTTTGCCATTTTTCAAATGTGTAATCAGGATTCGATTCTCGGCGACATGAAGTGGCACGGGGAGCTGTGAAGTTATACTTCGTTTTACTATTAAATCCATTATATTTTTAGTGGTCTGATTGACCAAATTACTTCTTTCAATTAATTAATCTTTTTATGTTGGTTGAAATTAAAAAGCCAAGTCACGATTGCTCGAGTGGTTAGATCAGTGGCATATTGAGCTGAAGGTCGTGGGTTCGAATCCCGCTCGTGACACTAGCTTTTTAATTTCAAACTTACATAAAAATATTAAATAATTATTATATTATGTTGTATATGACACTAATCTTTTCATCTCCCACAATAAATAAAATTATAAATCACTGGATCAGCAATAGGACCAATTAAAACAATATAATTTAAAATGTTACGATTTCAAAATAAACACGTTTTCCGCCATCACACACCGCCACATTCGTTCCCTTCCTTCTGATCTTTACCTCGTTTTATACAAATCCACCACTTTTAGTCGCTTCTCCCTTATCCATTCCTACAACCTCTAGAATTCCTTAACTAATTCCATTTCGCCATGACTCAACCCTTGCCTCATTTAAGTCCCGTCTTTTAGACTACCCCCTAATGATTAAATTATTAAACATCTCTCAAGGATGGGAAATTTCGATTTGTACTCAATAAATGTCGAGCTAATAATTACTTAATTTACCTAGTAAAATGGTTGATTATTGGGTTGTCTGGAAAATAATGCAACACCTATTAAATAAATGATTTTAAATATTTTAAAAAAAATTAATTAATAAAGGCTGAAACGACAATGGCTAAGAGGATCTACCAAAATTACTTTTCTTTTGAGGCGTTGTTGATACTAAACCGTCCCGACCTGTCCGCTTTGAAAAATGGTTGGTTTTCCAATAGATATTTACAATTGTGAGGTTTCGATTTGTAACTCAATAAATTTCAAGCTAATAAATACTTAATTTACTTACTAAAATGCGTTGAATTTTGGGATGTCCGGAAAATGATGCAGGTTTTTGGTTATGAAATAAAAATTATTAAATAAATGATTTTAAATTTTTTTAAATTTGAATTAATAAAAAATATTTAAAAACATTTATTCCTCCACAAAGGCTGAAGCAACAGTGACTAAGAGTATCTACAATAGTTATTTTCTTTTAAGGCGTTGTGGATGCTAAACCTTTGTGCATTGAAAAATGGTTGGTTTTCCAATAGATATTGTGGTGACCCAGAGGAACACCACAGACGGCCCTATCCAGGGCCTCATCACCACCCATCTCTCGCCTATCTCCCTAGGTCGGTTCTGCCAATGGAGAGCTAACACATCCACCGGGAGTGGGGTGAAAAGGGTATATGCCAAAGAGGGGGTTTTCTGTTTCCTAACCTGAAGGTTGCTGGACGGTGGAAGAAGAAAAGGGCTGATTGCGGAAAAGGAAAGAAAGCAGAGAGGAGAGAAAGGAAGAAAGGAGGACGTTTTCCCGGACGGGACCAACCCAGGACACCGGACCACCTCAGGAAAGGTAGGCAGGCCTCTTTTTTCTTCGCTCGCTCCCCTATCTCTGAAGACATTCATTTGATATTAATAAACGGATGTAAAAAAAAAGAAATTTTTCATGTAAATAAAATTCTTGTTTTCTAACTGGAGGAAAATTTTGGGATCCCGAACAATATTTACTCTTGGGAAGTTTTGCTTTGCAACTCAATAAATGTTGAGCTAATAAAAACTTACCTATTAAAATGCGTTGATTATTGGGTTGTCAGGAGAATAATGGAAAAATATTAAAGGCGTTGTGGATGCTAAACCGTCCAGACCTCTGTGTATTGAAAAATGGTTGGTTTTCCAATAGATATGTACTTTGGGAAGTTTGGATTTGAACTCAATAAATGTCAAGCTAATAAATAGCTAATTTACCTAGTAAAATGCGCTGACTTGTCCGGAAAATAATGCAGGTTTATAGTTATAAATTAAAAACAATTGTATAAATGATTTTAAGTATATTTTGTTTTAATTTATAAAAAATATTTAAAACATATTAGGTATGCAGAAGAAAGTCAGCGTCTGCTGGGAGGACAAGGAGGAATAGAAGGCAAAGAGAAAGCGGATACCCTTGCAAAAAAAGCGGCTCCTACACCGCAGATAGGACACGAACCCTTCTGTGCCATAGGAACCGACATTATCAATGAGTACCTCAAACAGAAGGATTTAAAAAAATGAGAGAACAATGGAACTCACTCATTGGACACAAACAATCCAAGAAACTCCTCACAAATTTCGGAAGGAAAGAAGTAATAGGATGTATCAAAGGAACCGGGAAAAATTGCAAATACTAACAGGATTCTTAACAGGACACTGCAAACTAAATGGACAATTAAACAATATTGGTATAAGCCAAGCCGGCACGTGTAGATTCTGAAAAGAAGCAGAACAGACACCAACACACCTATTGACTTTAATGCTAAACTTCCCCGCAGGAGGAAGTGCTTTGGGATGTACAATGCAACCTAGAATAAAATTCAACCAATGAAACCTGTCTAATCAGAAATGGGATTCAACGGCTGTAGGCACAGAACGAGACCATGGTGGAATAAAGAGTAATGACACAGTGAACACATTGGCCAAGTATGCTACTCAATGCAGCATTCAAGATTTGAATCTTCCGAAAATCGATGCGCTAAAGTTATTCGATAAAATCTGGATCAAAAATGGCAATCTATTTGTGGTACAGCTGAAAAGGGGTCTTTCTACAGGGCCTTATACCCAAATGTTAATACAACACGCTGGTATTTACATGTAGACGGTAGTGATCCTTTTCCGTAATGAGTCATGGAATAAGCAGTGACTACCTTTTGCAAAATAAAACAGAGACAATCCCCAAATTGTTCCACTTGCGATGTACCCGAAGATATGAAGCATTTACTTTTCGATTGCGAAGAATACCACGAAATCAGAGAAACTTTCCAAGCAGAAATTTTTGAATGTAACGACACTGAAAATCCCTTCAACCTTGAAACAATGATAGCTTCAGAAAACGTATTGATTTACAAATTGATGTTTAAATTCGTAAAAAATGTAATTTAAATATGTACAGTTATCGGTAACTATAGCGCATCCGGAGATGGGTTCCCTGGGGTTCGGCCCATGGTGTCGGGTGCGCTGTAGTTAGTGGTGCGCTACATCTTGTACGATGGCAAAATATTAAAGAAATAAAGCAAAAAAAATATCACTGAAGATATCCTAACGTCGGAACATAACGACGGTTTCCAACGCGCAAACCTAGCAAAACGTACACAAAAATATTTTAATTTCTGACTTTAATATTGGAGGGAATCGATAGTTAAGGTTGTTTTTGGATGATCTACGCGGCTCAAACGGGTAAAACTTGATTATGTCTGCGAATAGTTTTCAAAAAAACAGATAAAATAATAGGCAAAAATTAATTTCTGCCGTTACTTATAAAATTTTGAAAGTTTTTAATTTATTTGTATTTAAAAACTAAAACAAGACCCGCTTCTTTTAAGGCGTTGCTTATGCTTAACTTATAAGTTCGCTGCACATTGAAAAATGGTTGATTTTTCAATAAATATTACGATTCGTCGATGTAATAAATGTAGTAAATTATTCTGGAGCGAGGTAGTCAATACTATTACTACTACTACTACTACTACTAGACAATGTAGTTTAAATAAATTGCAACATCGTATTTCACCAACTAGCGTGCAATTATCACTAATTTTTTACAAGAAATATGTATATATTAACTTTGTACATAGTTATTTAAAACCAATAGGAAATAAAAATAAAACAGAATTGGAATTGAATTTATTCAAACATAAATAAAACTGAACTGTCAAATGTAAAAATAAACAAGAAAATAAAAGTATGTTGACGTTGATAAAGTGCTTCATAACTAAATAAAAAAGTTTCGTCACGGGACGATTGCCGAAATGTCAGTATGTCATGTCAACCATCCCAGTGAGCTATGAATAAAAAAACAATTGTCCCAGCAATTCGTATAAAAATAAAATAAACAGCTAGGGGACTCGTGTCTTTAACTGACTCTATTTTTACACGGGGATTGCATTTCGGCATTTTTTTAGAAGCACGATGTATAATATGCTTTTTATGTTGGGTTTGTTGAAATGCAATCAGTACAAATCTCATATAATTAATACAGCAGACGAGCAAACGTATTTAGCCTACATGATTTTGTTTTATTATTGAAAAAAAACAACAACTGGAATTTTCAATTTTAACAACTGGAATTCATCACATAAAACAGAAAAAAGTTGCAATTTGGTCGCCTTATCTTTAAGAAGGAATGAAGCACACAACAAACTTTGCAGCAAACCTTTCCAACCTTATAACTGATATAATGATGGGATGAAGAAACTGCCCCAACTTTGACCCCTAGTTCATCAATAATTGATCTTTCCTTGACAAAAGAAAATATGTTAAAATAGGTCTGTAGAAGGGATATGATAAAA